GCTTGCGGAGGAGTGGTTGGAAGGGCATTCGTCTGAAGAGGTGAATTGAAAAGTGAACTGCTTCAGGCGATGGTTTGCTTCAGGCGAGGTTATCGCGCGCATTTTGGCGCCAACGCACCCTCACCACCCCTTCACGAATGATTCCAGTCATCGCCTTTCCTTGTCTCGCTTTGGATGAGATCTTTCTCTGTTTGTTTGTTGATTACTTTTACTAAAGTTAAAATTTGTACTATAAAAACCAAATTGTCCACTTTGCTTGAAATTATTCTCTGTAGACTGCCTCCACGTAATAAAGGGTTAAGGCTTCATTTGATATCACTCTTCCTAAACTAACAACTACTTTGAGGTATTATAACCTAACTACCGGCTCGACAGGGCATTTGGAGAAAGAGGAAAATTGCTACAATTACCCATTTAAATCTAAACTGATTAATTGCAACAAGTATTCCAATGCATTCCTTTTACTTGATCATTACGTATGAAATGCTCGAGTATTCAATAAGACGACCACTACGTCTTAAGCATGAAGTTCAGGAAGCGCTTATTAATAACTAACGTTAAAAAGAGTTGGCTCAGGGCACCGTCACCTTTGGTGACTCACCTTGAGTGTGCCCAAGGAGATTACGAAGCTCGATGGAGAAGATAGGAATGCTTTGTTGCCCCTATTTGGCGGAAGAATCGAGAAGATTCACACTACTGTCAAAATCCCATACAACGAACGAGACGCAAATCCTAATACAGTATCCACAATGCCTTGACTTCTAACTCGCAGATTTGGCCCGAAGCCAACGTAATCGGTCAACGGCGGTCAAGACAAGGGAAGGATAACGAATTCCGACATCACGTGCTGCTCAGGATAGTGAAACAGCACAGAAAACATGGCATTAGTCAGCGCAGGAGTCTATCACGAGCAAATAGACCTGCAGCTAGCAGCAAGCTTCACAGGCGGGTCATGCGGGAGCCATGCTCTCCGTTCAGAACATTGGCAACAATTCTTCAAAACCTCGCACATGATGACAGCACGGATTATTCTGCTGTGGAAAATTTGTATCTGGACCCAGTCAAATCGTTGTTCAAAAATTGGTCGCGCTCTAAGTTTTGCATTAAAGCCGGCGACGTTGGGCCGTCGAGGAGCACATCGAAGTTGTTATCTTCGCGATATTTCGTTCGTCAGTTTGGTGTGCCACCAATCGCGCCTGCCGACTACTTAGCCGGTGCTACGACAGTTGGTGGCCGTTGTCATCACATGGAAAAACTCGGATGCGCCGTCAGAACTAGCACGCGAGCACTGCTCTCAACACATTGGCAGCTATAAATTTGAGCCAGGGCATCTCACGGACAATTCCAGCGATCGCAATGGCAAAGATAATTCGTACCGGAGGAGCAGTCATAGTCTGATCAAGACAGCAAATAAAAATACCAAAAAAGTAAGTTAAAATACTGATCCTTACATGTACGACACGTACAAAATACCATATCTACAATTTTTACGGAGTAATGGAGCTTCTTGGACTTGGATAATGTATATATACGCACGTACACGGTGGACGTTCGACCGAAAAATGAAGCTCTTTATCGCTTCCCGCGATGCGTGGGGCGTCAGCAAAGCCGCTAGATCGATCAGACATTCATGTACAGTACTTGCAGGATCGGAGCGACGTCGGCCACAAACGTCCAACAAAATGGCTTCCAGCCAACCCCTTAAAGCAGCCGTACCGATCAGGAAGGACTGATCAGTAATTTGCATAAGCTGTCGGCTCGAAATGCGATCTTGTAACGTACATGTGGCTGCCTGCTTAGATTTTTTTTTTCCAAAAAAGCTGGCAGGACACCAATTTACTATCGTTTTACTCTAATCAATCGTTTCTGGTATAGAATAGGGCACAAAATATCGCAAAACATGCGAAATATCAAATACAGGTACTAGCACAGTTCCCGACAACTAAATAAAGAGGCGATAATAAGAATACAGCCTTATGAGTTTTTTTTTAATAAATTGACGTGTTAGCGCGTCATCCTTGTCAACTCAACCTATTTGTGAATCCATTTGATGATAACGATGAAATGTGGTCCTCTCTTTTGCTTTAGTATCCTGTTTCTAAAGTAGGCTTAGATTGGAATGATATTGGGGCTATTATTACATCACACCAGGATTAAAACTTGTGACAAGCTTGTTGAAGGGATGCAGGCTCAAGCTATCCTTTTGAGTGAGTTATTATTTGCTACAAGTCGACCATTGTGTAAATTAAAGAAAAGCTGCAGGATAATCCATTAAATTGCACTCAAAAACAACTGCCCCACAACAAAAATACAGTGATAACTCGTTTGCGCGGAAAAATACAACTGCTGCAAATATTTGCTGAAATACCGGTATTAACAGAACAAACTGTAAGGATTTACAATGTGTTTTTCGCTAGTGAAGTTTCCAGGAACGGATGGGATGCACATGTTAAACAAGGAATCGAAGGGGGAAGGCCGGCCATTCTACGTAATCTGCGCATGACCTCGCTGCGGTCTCTTAGGGGCAAGCTTGTACGGATGAAATGTGCAGTAGTGCTGTCATTCCTTATTAAGTAGTTCTACATGTACAACTAGTACCAGGTAACTAGCCCTGCATCTTTCGGGGTGTGATTGAACTGATTTTGGGTCTGCGGTACATGTTTAGTTCATTGTATTAGTTCATTGTATTGAGGTCGGCGACGTCACTCGTGAGTGCACTCGATCATTGGCGGTGTGCAGCTGCGATGAGAAAACGGCGTTTTTAAAACGCAGTTTCACAAAAGCCAGACCAGTATATCTTGACGTGAGTTGATCCCACCAGTCGCAACGTCGTGCTGCAGTGGATAATTTCATCCATCGATCCCGCACAAACTTTTTTTGCCGCACTGCCTTGCTCACACTGAAATTTGCGTAGATAAAAGGGCAGTCGCGCATCGGTCGCTTTGCCGAAGTGTTCAGGTGTACACATGCAAAAAAATACTCCGAAGAACGTTTAACACTGTACCCAACAGAGGTAATGTACTGTATCTTCACTGTTCTTTGTGATGCGTGTATCGGATCGGAGTTCGATTCGGACAACGAAGAAAAAAAAGATGTGGCAGGTTGAAGCGGTCTGTGACGAGCCTTTCGATACATGTACTGTACCGGTATTAACGCTGCAGTATCACGGAAACCTCACTGTGCCTTGCCGGATTCATGGATTGTATAACACTTGCATGGTGGACTACTTCAACAACAATCTCAATCGCAAAAACATTCCCAGGCACCATATGCTATTCCGAAAACTCTAAAACCCAGCTGGTGTCTTAGTCGCAGCGTTTGAAATTTGTCTTGGATCCTCCAGGCACGCAAGAGTCCAGACTACCAAAATTGCGGTTATTGCTATACCGACGTAGACCGATGAGCTGTATAACTGAATTATTCACAGGTGCGCCTGTCTAACTGAGTTTTTTTCATGCACTTAATAGCGGGATGGGATGTCTGCAATTTCGAGAATCCGCAGGACTTCCAACCCGGTGTTATAGACAGGTGGCTCGTGTCGGCGGTGTGTGCTGCTGTGGAATATAGACGATTGGATTTGAGATGAGCGGGATTTGTGTATCCCAAGACCGTGCCACACAACGTCCCAGTGGGACGAGAAGGGGTGTCAACCCTACAGGTCATCCCACGCAAACTAGATCGCTGATTGGTCCATCCCTCTTTTGGGACGATATAAGACTGAGCCTTAGCAAATTGTGATGTTCAAGTCTCATTGAAGTCAATACCCTCTACAGTATGATTTGGCCTACAGTACTCAAGCTCACATTTATTTAAAGTACATGTACATGTATCGAGCCCCCAATCCTCAGGATGGCACCGATTCAGCATCACCAATTGGATTCTCTCTAAAAACCGCGTGAATGGTCTGACCGTTTTGAGCAAAATTTGACGGTCGCAATGCACGAGCGAATTTAAAAAATCCACACAGCATCTCGGCGGAAGAAACATCAAACGATACATGTAGTTTCATGATTTCGCTTCAAGGAATCGATGCTTCGGAGACGCTACATATATGCGTACCTGCTACGCCGTAGCATAACTTCATTGTTGCGACGTTGCCCACATGCTTCTAGCAAAACAGGATGCTTCCTCTGGGAAAGTCAGATGTTCGCTTCCTAGTGTTACGTGAGGCACGTTGCGATCGATTCACAAACCTATGCAACTGGAAGCCTATGCCTACATATGTACTTGTATGTTACTTCGACTTTCCAAATTTAGTGGAATCACTCAGCGTCGTTAACTCCTTGTTCCAACATGGATAGTACGTACCATCGATCAGCACATTTTTGACGCAAGTTCTTTTTTCTGCTTATGTATGCAGGTTTAGCGAGAATGTTTAACCTGGAGTTTGTATGAATATAGCCTTCCCATCTACAGGTAGCGATCAAGTTGCCCTGCCGCTGCAAAGTGCTTCAGAATTGGCGCCAGACTTCAAGTTGATATGGCCCCATAATTTTTCGACGTACATGAAATGTCCTATTCTTGCCATCTTAAACGACAGCCATGCAAAAACCTTTACAAATTAATATTAGTAACTGTATTATTTTATCATAGTTAGAACTTTGAGTTGTATGATATATTATTACTGGTAAACTCGATTTATCGTTAGAATATTCAGTTAAAAAGTCAAACTCTTCGATACTATCACATATACAAGGACAGTGGGCCGGGACGCTTTTCGTTGTTCGTCTACTATCGCCAAGCAGACCCAACGTTGCATCGCAGCCAATACCACTGTACATCCTGCAGGTGGCAGATAACAGAAGCCAATCGATGCTCCAGCTTGAGGCAAGAAGCGCGACCACTTTGCGACGTCCCGCCATTCTCGACAAAACTGACTGCGATTTGACTTACCATCAGGGTGATCAGAGTCCAAGCAACCCGAGTCGCCGTCCAAATCGCCAGCACCTGACTTTTCATTATTCTTTTTGCCGTCTTGGTACCACACAACTTCCATAGCAATGACCCGGTCGAGGTTAACTCTCGCCCTCTTGGTCCTAGTCGTCTGCCTATTTACTGCGTCTGCTATCGATTGGACATTTTGGAACGACGACGACGATGACACCCCTGCACCAACCACCAAAAACACACCTGCCCCTTCGACACCTACGCCGACAATACCCACTCCGACTGTGACGCCTTCTTCGGGATCCTCTAACCTTCCGACGGGAAACACGCCGACCACGTCTGGCTCCTCAACTCTAGAAGATATGCTCAGTGCCTCAGGCTCAGGATCGTTTATTGATGCCTCGACTATCAAGGTCAATGCTGAACTTGCCAAGGTAACGGATGCCACAAGCGACGTCAAGTCGACGTACCGCAACTGGGTGGGCCCTCGAGCCATTTCTCCCGACGCCGCCTGCTACCGTGAAGCGCATATCATGGATACGTGTCCAACAAACTTCGATCGCAATAAGGCAACCAACACATGCTGGGCCGAGTGCCCGATTGCCTACCCTGTCGAATGTGGTATGCAATGCATCCGCCAGAACGACGACTGTTTGATGGAGACACTAAACAAGGTCGGAGCTGTGGCTAACTCGGCACTGGCTATCGCTTCGTTCGGTGCCTTCCAGAAGCTGTGGCAGGTGGCCAAGGGCGTGCACCGCGCGTTCGACTGCGTCAACATGATGATCGGGACCATGAGATCAATTATTCGCTATGTGCGTAACATTAAAACTACCGATCCGAAAGCCTCTGCAGACAAAATTATGAACATCATGTACCAGTCGAATAATATCGTGACAGATCTGCCCATTGCGGTATACCTGTGCATGGGTTGGGATCTGCCACGACCACTCGATATCTCTGGTCGCGTGCTCACGACGATGAGCTGGATCCTGTTGAACGCCATCGCCTACCGGGAAGACATTTTCTCCAGCTGGAGTAAATTTAAAGCTTTTCTGGTCGGTGCCAACTTCACGGAGGCCGCCAACAAGGTCAACGAGACAGAGATCGGGACGCTCAGCGACGCTCTGAAGTCCAAATCGACGTGTGGCTACGATCTCCGAGCGTTGACGGACCGCACGTGGAACACCGTGAACCAACTGCGAGCAGACAACCCGGGCATCTCAGAGGACGACCTGCGTCTCAAGATGCAGAACACTCCGCTCGTGACGTCTGACATCGCTATCGTCACCAATAACTGCATGGAGCAAATGATTGCAGAGTCGGATGAGGCTACGGCCTACAAGACGCGTGAGAAGATCCGCACGGCGTTCAGTGGCATGATCAACCAACTTGTGTCCACGGGCAAGAGTAACAATGGCTCGACTGAAGATGCGAATCAATTCATGTACACAGCGTTCAGCAAGACCCTCATTTCGATCGCTGTTACCGGTTTCGACCTCATCGGTGTCATGGGTATGGCCGCTGCGTACTTACAAACGGTGTGTGGTCCGACGAATTTTATCGGTGAGATAGACGACGGAAATGACCCGAAGACACTAGGTCTAACTACGATCCAGAAGGCTTTCACCAATAGCTCCATGTCTTGGACCAAGAAAGGTGACGGCGCAGTGATCGTTGATTTTAAGAGTGTTGACACCAAGGACGTGACAGTTAACATCATGTCAGGTGGTGACAAGGTCGACGAGGTGGAGGTCAAAGCAGGGGGCACCGCCAAGTGGAAATCCAACGTCACGGGCTTAGCAGGCAAGACGCTTTACTTCGATCGTTGGCATCCAGGCTTCCTAGGTTTGCCTGGAACAGGAGGTGGGTCACTTCTCCTGTGGGTGCCTCATGCATCTGAAGGTGGCCACTTGGAGATTCAAGCCAAGCTGAACGTCAGCTAAACACATTCTAGTACCCAAATAGAGAAGGGATAATAGTGCGTCCAATAGTCAATAAGTAACATAATAACAAAGTAGATGTGAATATTTCTCAGCACGATATTTCTCAGCAACTCTTGCTTCTACGTTTTGGGGATAAGGTTGATGGAGCTTGCCACGTCGACCACCGTAAGCCTACTCAGCGGAAGTTTATCTCAGCGATCAACGCAAAGACCTTATTAGAGTTAAAAATATCTGTAAGAATATCCTTTGTGTGGAAACAGCGTAGCTCATCTAAGCCAATCGACGTGGTGCTGCACCCAACATACCGCAGCGTCTACTGAGAGCTACTACTACGTAGTACTACTAAGACAATCCTAATAGCTTTCCTCCTTCGGATACCATGACTTCTACTGAATACTGTACTTCGGGGGGGGGGGCTTACAGCTCACAATTTAAAAGTGCCAGATGATGATGAATTTTAGGAACTCGACTTGATTTATCCGAACTTGAAGGAGCATTTCGACCACATGAAAATGCCCGAGAGCTAGGAGCGAACATGCGACTCGGTGCGATTCGCACTGCGAACCTGTTAACTGCGCAGAAACAGCCAGCACTGTGAGACCTGATAAACACGTGCTTTCGAGAAAGAAGAAACCGAAACCTCGATATAATTGCGGATGGACTTCGAGCACTGTGCACAGCGTGTACATGTACTGCATGCACACTGCGGAGCGCTTGTTTGCAGCTTGCTCCAACGTCTACAAATGTAGTGTACAGTACCACAGTACATTTTACCGCGAGGAGAAAACGCTACATGTATATCGCCAACCCTTGGCGCTGAATGAGCAACTTAAATGCCGTTGTTTATAAACTTTTGTTTTCACGTTAAATACAGTACAGTGCGTGTACTGTGTGAGCTGTTTTCAGGAAAGTGCTTACAGTTTTGCACTGTTTTTTTTCTTGACTGAATTCAACCGGAAGAGCTGTCAATAATACGAGCCTTCCATCAACAAGCTTGGAGTCCATAGGTAAGCTTACGCATTGTGCACGCAAGTAACAAGTACCAAACACGCTTTTGCCGCCGGTACTACACATAAGCTAAGCGAGGGCATGCACCACGCGTTCGACTGCGTTAACATGATGATCGGGTCCATGAGATCAATTATTCGTTATGTGCGTACCAAGTCCACAGACAAAATTTTAAACCAGTCGAATAATATCGTGCCAGATCTGCCAGAGTGACTAATGTATCACCATATTTTGAGCTACTTGGGATTTGTAAACCGACGGTTTTCCCCATAAAGTACGAAATAGGGAGGAGGGAGTGAAATCGGCAACACGAATCATGCCTGTGGTTTAAGATGAAGCACGCGGGCTTAAGCCTCGGACCAAGCATGACTTTAATAAACCTTGCTCGGCCCTATAGGGCTAATGCCCAGGAAGGTCTGGGCTTCGGTTTAGGAGGGTAAAAGAATTCACGCCAAGTCCTCCACTTTTGGAGATTTGCAGTCTCATGACACCCATTCCCCCCTTGTGGCGATAGTCTCTGCCATTACGGTAGAGCTTATGAAAAATCCATAAAACCCGGGTTCTATGGATTTTTCATACCCTATTCAGTAATGGAATCAGATAATCAGACCGTTTTATGAGAAGTGACAAAGAAGTATAACCCCAACAAAATTTGTCCTTAAAATGAGGACGAAATAAGATGCAAGATCATGAAATTCCAAGTGATTTTGTCCTTAAGACCTCGATTATAACTTATAATTATTATCACGGGCCGTGAGCTCTCCACAGATGGTGAAATGAAGCTTGCGGGTGTGAGGAGGGGAGTCGTTACTGCAACCTGTCTACGATTACACGACAAAGTGCTGAGAGCAACCTACGACGCTCTTGGGTTGCTGGGTAATTTACCATGGTTTATATTACGTAAAAAATCACAAGAGCCGAATTTTTAAATGTTGTGATAACTATGTTCGACTAAGTACGAATTGCTTACTTTGTTCGAGTAAGTACGGATCCCATGGTCCCCCCGTTTTAAAGTAAAGAAAGCGGGAGGAAGCAGCAGTGGAGGCCGCAGCCTCGGCGAGGATGTCGGCAAAGGGAGCGCCAGCGCAAGGAGAAGACGGCTCTACAGATGGAGGTACGGGTTCAAGTCATCGTGGTACTCGTGCTGCTTCCGTCACCTGACGATATTTTGTTTGTTTATAGAACGTCGTGCTGGTTTGCGATACCACAAGCCAGTCGACTACGTCCGCGCTGGTCAAGGGTTCACCACGGACCCTGTGGACAATGATATGTATATCGATGACCCGTCAGCCACCCAAGCGGATGTGATGAATGAAGATGCTGACATGGAGGGTCTGGTGAACGAGGACGAGGTCTACGACGCAGGCGCAGACGCCGCAGACGGAGAAGCTGTAGACGAAGACGCCGCAGACGGAGACGCCGCAGACGGAGACACCGCAGACGGAGAAGCCGCTAACGCCGACGCCTCAGTAGACGCAGATGTAGCGACAGAGGCCGCTAGCGCAGACGCCGCAGACGGAGATGCCGCAGACGGAGACGCCGCTAGCGCAGACGGCGTACACTCACGAACTACGGCACCTGTCGAAATAAGACCTGCTAGTCAAGTCAGCCTCGGTATGTTGCTTGCTGTGCTGCTTCATTGTGTTGCTTTGTGTGCTGTTTTGTAATGTTGCTAACTTTTTGTGGCTGTTGATATTAAAGATGCGGTTCGCCAGTTTGTGACAATCACCCGACAGAACGCCGAAGCTGAAGCTGCTACACGCAATGTCAGAACAAGCTGTCAGTCAACTGCGGGGTCGAAGTCAAAACCGCAAAAGAAAACGTCTCGAACGGAGTACGAAGATTCGGATTGTGATGACGCAGTAACAACTGCGTTTCCACCCAAGCGCTCCAAGTTTAATTATGGGGGACAGCCCCGCCATGCTACTTCCTCTCAGACTGTGTCGGCGGGACGGCGCCTACCTCAACGAAAGACTAAAACGTGGGAAGAGCGAAAGAAGATGCTGAAAGCGCATAAACCTATGGATAACTTTGTGCCAGAGCTTCCAGTCAAGACATTCAACAACTGGACTGAGTTTCAGACAGCACTCGAAAGGTACGAGGCAGAACTTTTTCTGCACTACCGTATTCGAAGCTCTGAAACTCGGGAGAAGCACAACAGGTAATCGTCAAGTGGGGTTGACGAGTGGTGTTTTAAAAGGATATACTAACGCTTTTATTATTCGATTTTGATTGTTGTGTTGCTTTCGTGTTGCTTAGCCGCCCCGACGCTCTACCCATTCCGGAGCGTCTATCGCACAGTTTTAAGCGGATGCGGTGTACGCACAGCGTAATGCAAGCACCACGTGGGGAAGGTCGACGAGACCATGGGTGGAGGTACACCGGGTGTGAGGCAAGCTTTACGATTCGATCAGCAAAAGTTGTAAAGAAAGGGGTTGCCAAATGGGAAGTCGCCGTCCAATTGGACTCGGAGGTAAGAATGATTGACATTATGTTCCTCGTTTGTGAGCACCGACTTATCATATTATCGTTTTCTGTAGATTTCGAAGCACAACCACAAAACCAGCAAGACTATTTACGATTCGTACCGCGGAGCTAAGTCGATGCCTTTGTCGTCCAAGGTTCGAGAAGACCTCGGACTTTTGGCAGACATGAAGGCCAGCACTGCAGATATTAACTGATATCTTTAAGCTTGGTGGGTGCTTCTGGTGACCGTGACGAGGATGTGTCGGCCAAATTTTTTTTATCAATTTAAATTAACATTGTTGTTTTATTTTTGCTTTAACAGATATGGTTCTGACTTCACAGCAGACTAGAAACATTTTGCAAGAAGTGTTGGGATCTACAACAGTGGAGCGGACCAGGGTGCTACTGGATACATTTGTGGAGGAGGACAACAACGACGTTCTTCTTGTGCAAGATCAGATGGGGATTGCTTGTGTCATAGCTATACGAACATCGCTTCAGAAGACATGCTTCGAGCAGTGGGGCGACAGTTTGGTAATGGACTGGACGCACGGTACCAACAACTTGGGGTATCATTTGGGTTAGTATGATATTTACAAATTATTATTCATTTCGTCTAGCAACTACTAACAATTCATATGAATGAATTGTACACTGGGAGTTTGGTAGTTACGTCAGCTACTGGAAGAGGCATCCCGATTATTGATTTTCTTGCACTAGATCAAAAGGCTGTTACGATGGAGTACATTGTTGAGTTTTTCAAACGCCACAGCCCATTTTGGAAGCGAATCCAGACAATTGTTATCGACAAAGACTTTGTGGAATGGCGCGTGCTGGAAAAGGCGTTCCCTCACACCAAAGTACTTTTATATCAGTTCCACGCGCTCACGTATTGGAGGAAAGTTTGCAGAAGACCAAAATTTAACCTGAAGATGGCACAGCGGGAAACGATGGAAGCTGCGTTCGCAAAGCTCGTCTATTGGTACGGAGCAGCTCACTGATATGTTGTGTTGCTTCTTATGTTGCTGACTAACTGTGTTGCTCTATATGTTGCTGACTCACTGGGTTGCTTCGTGTGTTGCTGAATATGACATTGGGTGGTGTTTCGAATGTACTTTCAGTGCAAGTCGGAGGAGCTTCGATTTAGAGCTGGCTGAGTTCACGAAAGTCTCCAAGAAAGAGTGCCCCAAGCTACTCAAATACTTCTCGGCAAATTGGAAACCGTGCGTGTCAATGTGGGCAAATCACGTACGAAGTGAATTTTTCTCAGCTGGTAATACCACTACCAATCGAATCGAATCAAATTGGAACCAGGTAAAACTTCTTCTGGGCAAAAGACCTCGACTCGACGCGACAATCAGCGGGCTTCTGGCACATCAGAAAACAATCGTTCGGCAGGTTCTTGCTACTATGGGAAAGCATGCATCTACCTCTCGTCTACCGGGAACTGTGCCAGATTTTCTAAGTATCGTTTCTAAGCACTTAAGTCACGATTCATTGGCTAACGTACGCTCTCAATGGGACTA